GAATATGATATTCATAGGTATGTATTTGTTAGTGTATAATCACCAGATAATAAGAGTTTTGTTTTTTCGGTACCTTAGAATGAGCCATTTTTATCCACAGAACTTCTTTTATGGAGGCTGCCATGTTGTATGGTAGAATAAGTGTGTTACTGACTGCTGTCCTTTTTTTACTACTTAGTTGATGTGATTATTATGGTGAAGAAGACAGCCCAACATGCAAAGTAAAGAAAAAAATATTCACCAGTACACATACAGTATATAACACAGAGATGCTGCTATATGCAGCACTGTAGCACAGATGCCAACAATGTTTCATGGTTATGAATAGTGAAAACTGAAGACACTGGACATTTACATGTCATGTTGGTGGTACATGTTGGTGTGGCCCACAGATTTCTAGTCCCTATTTGAAGCTTACATAGTTTCTCACTATATTACCAATAGCTTTACCACTCTGTACTGATACCAACTCTGTGTGGGTATGTCTATATGTGTATGTGTGTGTTTGAATGAATACCCTGCGGTCCTTAGCGATAAGGCTGAGATTGAGTTTTCCCCACAGTGCCAAAGCCTCTAAAAAGTGTGTGTGTGTTTGTGTGTGAAGACATCAGGAAAAAGGCAATGTAAAGAGCTTGTATCGCTTTATCTACCGAACACGCCAGAGTGTATGTGTATATGTATATGTGCTCTCAAACTGGTGTTGTGTGAAAGAGAGCTAGCTGCTCTGCTTTGTTCAGCATTGTGCGCTTGAGAGGATGAATCCTCGGGGCTCGATTCACAGCTGAGACAAGAAGATATTTATATATCTGTGGTGTTACAACAAAAAATGTGTGTGTGTGTGTGTAGGCGTGTCTACAGTTTAGCTATATATGCTGTTTTTAGACATCCATGCAGCGAAACGTAGACAAAAAAGGTAAAGCAAGCGAAAACAGCCCGATTTTAAAGAGAGAGAGCATGTGTGTTACCGCTGCCTGCTGCTTTCATTCAACATGGCCCGCGAAGGGACACATGTGCACCAGTGTCTGATCCTGACGCTGCATTTGGTCAACATCAGTCTCTCGTCATGCAAATGAACACATATCAGTTAACCAGGAAAATGTGGCAGTTTCCCATCACAAAAACAGAATCTGTTAAAACAGAGGAGGCAAAACAGAGAAGACGGACATGGTATGTCAGTGGTATCAACACAGCAAGGAGGTGAACCAGTCTGCTGTTCACTGACAGCGTGGTGCTTCCATAGCCAGACTTGCAGCAGACAAAACCCATCAGTTTCTGTTGCAGGGAGAGGGGGCCAGACAAAAGGCTGGAACGTCCCCAACTGTTTAGTTTCCATATCTAGCAGTCAGTGACAAGGCTTTCCGGCAGTTCTTATTTTCACGCACTGTCCTCTGGTGAGCGGCGCACACTCACACTCTCTCACACACAC